GCTCAACAATTACGACAGGAAGGGCACTTTAGAAAGGCTGAACTCATTTATATAGGACTAGGAGATACAGGTGAAGCTATATCTATGTATAAGGTAATACTCTAAATTATTGAAATATACATTGTTTAATTATATGCATAGAACAAATATATGTTTTTTTTAAATCGCTGTTAAACATCGTTCAGGAAGCGTGTCAGTATGAGTCGATGCTGCGGTTGGTGGCGGCCGGCGACCTCCGGGCCGCGGGGGAGCTGAGACCTACTACATACAAGCCGGTGAGCCCACGAGGGAAAACGATGCGTCTATTGATATGAAAACAAACTTGTTAGTGTTCCATAGATTCGCTGTGTGGGCATTAGGTCTATCGCGTTGCAGGGAGAGGAGCTTCAAGAGACCCCTATCTAACGCGCTTTAAATGCTCTAAGCTCCTCTCAAAACCTAACCAAAATTGAAACGAACCTACAAGGGCTGCCTACGACGCACGTTCCAATGACCTGATATTAGTTCTGGACAGGCTCAAGTCTTTTAGTAGGTTGTAGAGAGATTTGGTTGTCATACCTGTCCTCCCACTTCTATAGCGTACAAATTAACAACGAACCTATTCTTAGTGAGTTCGTTAGTGAGCTTGTAACACTTGTTGACCTTGATCACATGGTCTTTCGAAATTTTGGTATCCGAAGGAACCGTGAGCTCTATTAGCACAACGCACTTTAAAATTAGCGAGCGCATTTTAAAAATTACCGTCTAGGTCCTTTAAATTATGCATGTGAATGAAAATAAATATATATTGTAGACATGATGTTGTATGGTATATTGTTTCCATTATTAAAAGTGCCATCCAGATGTATGACACGAGTGGTCAGTGGGTGGTGGCTCGGGCCCACGCTCCGGTTACAGTACAGCAGCAGGTTGCTGTTCAGTGGGCGGGGTCATTGACCGCCCGGGGACTGGCGGCACTCGAACATTAACCTAACACCAACTAACTGACAGCTATTCTATGGAAAACAGTTAAGAAATCGATTATCAATGCTAATGCATTACCTCCGGATACAGGATCCCTGCAGAAATATTGCAAATTTGTACTTTTCAATGTCATATTGGCCTTAGTTATTATGTCACAATAACGGTCAGATTCAAATATACGAATCGAGAAGTAGCGAGGCATGAAGCAGCGGTTCTGGCTGAAGAGAACCCGGAGGAGGCTGAGGCGGCTTTCCTTAGAGCTTCGGCGGCTGAGGATGCGATCCGGATGTCGCTGTCTAAAGGGAATCACCAAAGAGCTTTGGCCTTGGCCGAACAGCATGCCACGCATATGGTGACACATTTTGTTTGATAAGTGAAGTAATTTTAGTTTCAATGTTCGTATACTTTATTCTGATTTACTTTATATAACTCTTAAACGATAAGATTTGCTAATAAGTTGACAATAGGAGAATTTTTGTTGTTAAAAAATTTGATAGCTCTGCTTACATTGGCTATACTAATGATTATAGTAGTGTAGTAAGTGTAGTTTTATGTGACGTGTATAGACGGAGGAGGTGTTGGTCGAGCGCGGGGACCTGGCACAGTCTGAAGCTCTCATGACAAGAGAAGTGGTACAGCATTACAAAGACTTGGGTTCGTTCGGAAATTACTTTATTGTATCTCTGAAGAATTCCTTTTAAAGAATATCAAAATGCTTTGTTAAGAACGATAGTTTTTATAAAATGGTGATAGCTTGTTACCTTCGTCTATGACGCATTAACATACATGACACTTTCTTGGACAAGATAGAGATCAATAAATTCATAAGCTGGATGACTTACAGCAGCGGTAGTTTGTTAAATTTAAACAGCTGTGCGAGTGCAAATTAAACTGTAAGTTTGTTTATGATCTTTAAATTATTGTAAATATTTTGATTCACACCATTTAAATACGCCGACTGTGTTTAACTTTGTCGTAGGTATTGTGGTGTCTAAAGCCCGAAAAGTGTGATGGAAAGAAGAATCATAATGTAGTTATTTCGTGTACTTATTATTTACCTACTATTTATTATTGTCGGACGGCACTCGGAGAGAGGGGCGCGGGGCGTAGTACATTGTGTCTGTCTGTGTGTGCGTGTGCAGCGGAGTGTTGGTGAATAGCTGACCATATTATAATAAGTGAAGATAATCACACTCTACAGGTACAGCTGTTAGCTGGCTCATACGACAGATCAACTCGAGCGTTTGAAGAATATATGGTTCCGTGGCAGGGACAATGGACTTACGATGTGTACTCTGATTTCTTTGATGGTGAGGCATTTCTCTTATTTTACCTGAAATTTTGACTAAAACCCATATTGAGACTTAATCCTATTGTGCTTTTTATTTTAATTTAGTGTTATGACACGAATATCTAAATGTATTGCAGTTAAAGGGGAGGGACAGTAGTTACGTGTTATGATGTGAGCACTTGTCTTGGAGTGAATCAGACACTCTATATTAGAGGTTGAGGTCTCTGGGTCTGGGATAACTTTGTCTTGGAGTGCGTTCGATCGGTTGTCCCAGAAGAGACCCTGGGCTCGGGATATTGGGATGCTTTACAACCACTTTGTGAGGGCTATGTTTATTTAACTGAGTGAAATCAAAAATCGAAAACATTTCTGCCGTTACATTTCTTAATTTCAGACGCAGCCAATGAAGGAGATGACTTATCTCATGACTCCAACCTGCCTCCTGGTGTTGACCAGCCTATGGAAGACAATGAGCCACAAGCAGGCCCTTCTAGGATGACAAGACATACAGAACTGAATACTTCTACTACCAACGAAGAGAATTTCATGTCCTCTCGGCCAATAGGGCAGTCGTATTGAATATTATTTTTACTAGATTCAATTCTGTTCTTGTTTTTGAGAATATGTATATTATGTTTACTTTTCAGAGTCCTTTAAATATTTCCACTGTTAATATTATTTAATAACTGTTATATATTTATGTACGTGATTTTATTTTACAATTGTACATGTTAATTTTTTACACTATTCTTTGTACTTATATTATTTTGTTAAATTTGTTTGAAAGTAGTTTGTTGTCTTTGTAAAGTATATTTCGTTACTATGATATTTATCCATTTCTGTATATTAAAAGTAATTTTAATCCATAAGTTAATCTTTTTTTTAATATTAAATATATTATGCAACAAGTATAACTCAATAATTTAACATTTAGGTACGGTAGTTAAATGAAATAATAATATCTTTATAGGTACAACTTTATTGAATGATCTTTAAAGTAATATTTGTAACAGAACATATCATACAAAGTAAAAATAGCTCCCTAACAAGTAATATACCAACAACAGTAAATGTAACAATTCATTTAATCCTCAGTTTCTACACAACGACAACTTCATTTAAACAGTTCAGCTTCATTTAAACAGAACTTTTCACTAACATCCATCCGATTCATACCTTTTTTTAAAATATATTTTTTTATTTAAATTTAAAGATGCATAATGTTTAATCTTAAACCTAACTTTCAATGTTAACAATACATTACATTATAAGAGTAGATAGCATAGATTAGTAGATGTTTTAATTTGATATATTCATTAAGTCAATCCCAGGCCCTCTATTATTCTTAATATACATTAACGATATTGGTTATTTGGGATTACACAGAGAAGTGTCATTATATGCAGATGACACAAGTCTATTCTTTTTTGGAGACTCAATACATGAGATAACATCGAACGCACAAGCTGTAATTTGCTGAGTATAAATGTAACAAAAACCTCCTGTATGCTTTTTTACTGCTAAAAATAAAAAAATCCGTAATTACGAATCCCTAACCATAAATTATATTAAACTCCAAAAATCAGAAACAAAAAAGTATCTTGGTTTACTATTAGATTACAAACTATTATGACAACCCTCATTTAGATTACATATTTGCAAACTAAAATAACATCACTGACTGGAGCTTTACGCAGGTGTATCCGATGTATTCCATATAAAGTTCGAACTATTATTTATAACTCATTAGCTAAACCCTTACTTGAATATTTAATAGAAGTATGGTGATTTGCACACAAAACTAATTTAAAAGATTTACAAATATCACAAAACAAGCTATTACAAACACTACACCAACTGGACTACCGCTTTCCAACCAAAGAACTTTACAAGAAAACTGATACACTATCTATTGGACAATTATACAAATACAAAACATGCATACTTATAAGAAAACTTCTCTCAGGATCTATACACACACAAACTACTTTTAAGACTAAATCACATAAATACTATACACGAAATATACATCTAATACAAATACCTAAGTCTAGAACTAAACATTATGGTAACGAAAGTATTGTTATCCATTAATACTTCCGGTCCTACATATACGGCTAGTTCGGGTACATCGTGATGATTATTTATAAGTATAGATTAAAACTTCTGTTCAACAATTTAATTAGTAATTTAATAATCAAATAAATAGTTGATTCATATTTGTTTATACTTGGAACATTTTATTATATGTTATTCTATTTATTAATGGCGCCTTCTGCTTGTCAGCTTCCGGCGCAATTAATAAATAGTGCTTATTGTTATTTATATTCTCTCAAATTATGTCGATTAATCAATGCTATAATAATTTTGTTTTGTTGTGTATAATGCAAGAATTAAGCTACTAGAACCTTATTTTACTGATATGACTAGATTATAAACTTCCGGTGTAATATATCAACCTTTAATATTTAATGTTACATAATCCTATATTATTAAATAATATTTGTCCATAAATAATAATTAGAATAATTAAGATAAACAATGTTTAATATTATCTCTTAAGTTTACAAATTGAATATTAAATTAAGTCAAGATATTGAATATACTACCGATATACCGCCATATTGAATATATCGGCCATTAGTATTCTAACCGTTGTAACGTGCATTAAAAGTGTTCCTGTATATAACGTATCGTCATTTACGCCGCCACCCTGAGAACCCACCTTTTATACTTCAGAAGTGGGATGATGTCTGGCCCATATATCGACGGGCTTGGTACAAAGAAAAGGAGACGGTGCGAGAACGCCGTACTTGACAGCGACGAATCATCAAGTTTTTTTTCTTCACCCGATGACGAAGAGATCTTGGAGAAACACAGGCGATATAAGAAGCGACGTGTCACCCAAACCGATGCGGAGGTTATTCCAACGTTCCGACCTGATGAAAAATCTAGCAACGTCAAGGGATGGTTGCATAAGATCGACCAATTGGGCGACGTGTACGGATGGAACAACAAAGATCGACAGTTCATCATGCAGATACGTCTTCGAGGGTCGGCTAGAGACTGGTATGAAGATCTGGATGACTACGATCTCACATGGACGGAGTGGAAGGACGCTTTAAAGACCGCATTCCCACGTTCTACTGACTTTGTGGATTTACTTGAATCTATGCTCGCTAGAAAGAAAACGAATACGGAAACTATGACAAAATATTTCCACGACAAGGTTTCTTTATTAAAAAAATGCAATATTAATGGCGAGTCTGCAATTTCGTGCATAATTCGCGGTCTACCCATGGAAATAAGAGCCAACGCGAAAGCATTCCAATGCAGTACACCACAGCAACTATACTACGGGTATTTGTCGTCATTGGAAACCTACAAACAAATTGAAGCCAGCCATCCGCGACCAACTACCACGTGGCGAAGAGGGGACGCCGTTGCTACAATTACAAGAGGGAGTGACTTTCAACCGAAGAAATGCTATGCCTGCCGAAGAGAAGGTCATGAAGCAAAGGACTGCAAGGTGCCACGCTGCGAGGTGTGCCATCGCCCGGGTCACACGTCTGCTAGCTGCTGGTATGCGGCCAGCTCTACACATCAAAAAGTGAGTGATGTTTAATATACAACATATACATAGATTTGTATAAAAAGGTAGGACAATTGGTACTTTATAGGAATAACCAGAGAAAGCACTAATATAACTAGGAAACTTAATGGGTTATATACAGGACCCTATAGAGTAAGCAAAGCAGAACACTCGTTAGATCGCTACACAATATGTAGTATTAAAGGCATGAAAGGTTATCGAAAATTTACGGCTGTTGTTCGCGGTGAAGTCCTCCGACCTTACAGTTCTTCCATTCCCGATGATAGCAGCGGCAGTGACCATGAGGTTGATAGGGACGACTTGATAGATTTATTAGAAAGTTAATTAATAATCATATGCTAGTGAATAAATAGATATGTTAAAATTTATTTTATTATTACAAAGTAAATCTCAATTTATAAAACAAAACTTGTGCAGAACAAATATTGTATTGAGAAAAATAAACTGTTATACAAAATATTTATCTATTCCATCAATTATCAAAAAAAAATCAAACTACTTTAGGACAGAGGTTGTATAAATTACATTAAATTAAAGCTGTGTGATGTAGGATAAATAAAAGCTGTGTGATGTAGGACAAATAAAAGCTGTGTGATGTAGGATAAATAAAAGCTGTGTGATGTAGGATAAATAAAAGCTGTGTGATGTAGGACAAATAAAAGCTGTGTGATGTAGGACAAATAAAAGCTGTGTGATGTAGGACAAATAAAAGCTGTGTGATGTAGGACAAATAAAAGCTGTGTGATGTAGGATAAATAAAAGCTGTGTGATGTAGGATAAATAAAAGCTGTGTGATGTAGGACAAATAAAAGCTGTGTGATGTAGGACAAATAAAAGCTGTGTGATGTAAGACAAATAAAAGCTGTGTGATGTAGGACAAATAAAAGCTGTGTGATATAGGATAAATAAAAGCTGTGTGATGTAGGACAAATAAAAGCTGTGTGATGTAGGACAAATAAAAGCTGTGTGATGTAGGACAAATAAAAGCTGTGTGATGTAGATCAAGTAAAAGCTGTGTGATGTAGATCAAATAAAAGCTGTGTGAAGGAGGACGAATAATAGTTATGTTATCTAAGATAAATAAAAGCTTTATACTTAAAAATTGGATAATGCAAGATTTAATTACGGCTTAGACATATCAATTTCAGGTGCCGTACAGCAGCGACAAACCAGGCGCCAATAGCAGTGCTGATCGCCGTGGGACACGGCATACACAGGATGGCCGAATGTTATCCATTAATACTTCCGGTCCTACATATACGGCTAGTTCGGGTACATCGTGATGATTATTTATAAGTATAGATTAAAACTTCTGTTCAACAATTTAATTAGTAATTTAATAATCAAATAAATAGTTGATTCATATTTGTTTATACTTGGAACATTTTATTATATGTTATTCTATTTATTAATGGCGCCTTCTGCTTGTCAGCTTCCGGCGCAATTAATAAATAGTGCTTATTGTTATTTATATTCTCTCAAATTATGTCGATTAATCAATGCTATAATAATTTTGTTTTGTTGTGTATAATGCAAGAATTAAGCTACTAGAACCTTATTTTACTGATATGACTAGATTATAAACTTCCGGTGTAATATATCAACCTTTAATATTTAATGTTACATAATCCTATATTATTAAATAATATTTGTCCATAAATAATAATTAGAATAATTAAGATAAACAATGTTTAATATTATCTCTTAAGTTTACAAATTGAATATTAAATTAAGTCAAGATATTGAATATACTACCGATATACCGCCATATTGAATATATCGGCCATTAGTATTCTAACCGTTGTAACGTGCATTAAAAGTGTTCCTGTATATAACGTATCGTCATTTACGCCGCCACCCTGAGAACCCACCTTTTATAGTATACAATTTGAGGGAGCGCTAATGTACAATAATCTACCGAAAGAAATATTTAACGAAAAATCTTTTTTGAAATTTAAGGCTAAATTAAAAACATACTGTCAAACTTTATAATTATATTTGAATGTTTGTATAAATAAGGTAACCATTAACTTCATAAATGTTTATTATTATGTTACTAGTTTAAATTTCCTATGTAAGTGAACTTTGTTCTTAATGGGAAATAAATTATCTCTAAACCTAAGCCTACCAATAGATGGCGGTTTATAAAACAACCAACTCAGTACCGTATTTTGAAATTCTTGTTATGATTCAGTAAAAATTCTTGTGATCTTTTTGAGTAATAGAAAATATTATTTTATTGCCACATTGATTATTATTCATGTATTTTTTATATCTATGGATTTATTAGTAGCCTTTGAGTTTGTTCCTCACCTGGCTCCTTACTTGGATAAAAGACTAAACATTGCAAACTTTGTTCTGAATTTGCAGGAATAGATCTTAAATTAAAAAATAACATTTTGATTGTAAGTTACAGGCTTAGTGTTTTATTGTATACAATTTAATTTAAATTTATCCAGTAGTCTCTGATTTTTTTTAAATTTCTTATATAATAATTATAATTAAATGTGGTCAGTTGCTATAGCTGGGCTGGCTCGAGCGGAGAAGTACCAAGATCGACGTGAAGTACTCTTTAATGTCTACGTTTCGTCCGAAAAAAGAGAGAGCCGGCTGTCCTTTCCCTTTTGCCTCCCCTTCCTATCCTCTTCTCCAATCAAGCGCATTAACACTGTCCATGGGAGACAGTGACTACTGTCGGTTACAACTATTTTCATAAAGAAGTATTATTTTAAATAGTACAAATGCAATGATGAAGAAAAAAATTACTGATCAAACCTTTATACAAAACAATATTGACAAAAAGAAAAATATTTTGTTCCTACAACTGTATAAATAATGAAGAAAACCCATCTTGTACTTATTTGCTTGTTGTCCCTCAGTTGATCCTGTCTGTACAAATGTTATAAAAAAGTATCAACATACAATATTTAAATTAGAATAAGAAAACAGTAAAATACTACTTTTTAGGTAGGTACAGTTTCAGTCTTGATTTTTAAAGTTCATTGTTACCTTTAGTAATGTCATACAAAATGGCTGAAGCCAGTATTAATATCACAAATATGTACAAGCTGATACTCAAACCTTGTCATCATCAAATTAAATTAAGGGGGTTTTATACTTAATAATAAATAATTACAAATATTGCTTACAATATATAACAAATATTTATGTATATAACTGCTATATACCTAACATAAATTAAGTATCAGGTTTGAACAATTTCATCACGCCAATATCTACATTCATTTATTATTATTTATAATCAGTCACAATTAATTCTAAGAATTATAGTATAATACAATTAGAATGGCACAGATGACGCCACTTGTAACACTATTCTTGTTATTTACATGTTTCAGTTCTACAACCATAATAATGTATTAAATAAAATACCTTTAATAAATTTTCTAAACAATCCGACATTTTCTACGTTTGTATGTATACAAATATTAATAGTATGAAAGATAAGTCACAGTATAATACATCATATGAGTCACATCATGTACACACACATTAGTATTTAATTGATAGCTTAATACTTTGAATTTGAAGATTATATTTACTCATGTTATATTGTTTTGAGTTTACAACAAACTCATTTGAAGGATGTATATACGGAGTCCCAAAGTGTTATTATCTTCATATATATAAGCTTAACAAGTACAAGTATTACTGCTTAATAAAAATCAAAGACAATACAATACATCCACAATAACTATAATTCATTTCAATTCAACAATAATAATTTTCTTTATGATAAATGCGGTTTACATAAACATTATAAATGAAAACAGTTCAAGGTAAATCTATTATAACAAAAACTTTTAGCCCCCTCTAGTGGCATAACAGATACTATTCTTTTAAAAACTAATTATTCTAGAGAAAAAGGTATGATAAGCATAATCAGTACATACAGAAATAAAACATTTAAGATGAGCAATGTTTTATCAGATTATAAATAACAATAAAGTTATTGCATTGTATCAGAGAAGTATATCAAATAGATTGGATTAAATAAAATATTATGATCCAAAAGAAATTATATATCAAAGTTGTACAGTAACTGTTAAAGATATTGTTTGACAAGTGTTAATTCAATATAAAATAACTAAGTAGCAGACAAGTTGGAGATGTGCTGCTAGGCCGGCTGTGTTCATTGTTAGTTTACATCTAACACTTGATGATCAGCCGTCATCTCCTGATGGATGAATCTCAAGTACAGTCCAATAACACCATCTGTAATACATAATACAATATTGTTCTTATATAAAGACATACAAAGACACTTACTTCAATTATTGTCGGTTTAAAATAAATTATAAAATGTCTAAAAAAAATTACAGAAACACTCTTATAAAATAACAAACTAAAAAATATTTGTAATTATTATGCATTCAGTTGAATATAAATGAATGATTAACAAAATATAAGTGTTTTTATTTTATTAATCAATTATTTATTTTCAACTCATTAATTCTGCTAACTACAGATGGTTTTGTTTTGTAAACCATTATTAATAGCATGATGACTGTTAGTGATTGCAGTTATAATTAAATCCCTACTAATATAATAAATACGAAAGTAACTATCTGTTTGTTTGTTAAGTTTTCATTCCTAACCCGCTGAACCGTTTGTGATGAATTTTAGTATGGATATAAATGAAGCCCAGGAAAAGGACTTGGGCTTCTTTTTATCCCGATTATCCGTTGACACAATCCCGACCCCAATCCCAATACTACGCGGGTGGAACCATGAAGTGGAAGCAGTTCAGGTTCAGCGGTCATAGTGACAGAGAACAACTGTGATGTACACGAAACGGAGCCGTGGGCAAGAGATAGTTACTATTATAATTACAATCTTTTATTTATTTATTTAATCATTATGACGTGTCGGAAGCATTCAGTTTATGTAATAAAAATAAAAATATTGAATAAATGAACATAAACAATGATTCAATCTCACTATAAATAATAACAGAATAATATTAAATAATCAACAGTACATACCGTAAA